GTCACCTAGGACCCCCCTGAAGAAGCTGATGAAGCAAAGATCTGCTTCATCAGTTTCTCTCCAGCATCTGAAGCTGGAGAGTGACACAAGAGTGACACAGGAACTGCATACTGGCGCCTTCCGGCACTGATCCTGTACTGCACATTTTTTTAGTACCTAAAGAGAGGTGGGGGGCTGTCCACATTGGGTACCGAAGCTCAGGGGGTTGCAGCTGCTGATGATTACTTAACTTGACAAAGTAGCCAGTGGTGACCTCAACACCCTCTGATTGTCAGTGGATCATTAATTTACATATAGTAGATAGGCATGCATCTGGAGCATGTCCGACCATTTCCTGGCAAACAGACATCAGTCTTCGGCCAGGGAAGCTGCAGAAGGCCTCCTGAGGTGTATAATAATATTAATTTTAAATGGTGTAATATTATTTACAGATGCCATTTTAAAGTGGTAACATCACAAGGTATCTTAGGCTGATGCTTCACCACTGTGCTGTGTTAGCTTTGCTACTCCTAAAATTGAACAAATGGCATTTGATAGGTGTTGCTCGTTTAGGTAAGAGTCAATGGACATGTTTGTCCAGACATTCAAACAAGATATTTTGTATAACTTTTAGAAAAGAAATGGCATGTTTTGGCCACAGTAGTAAGATAAACATTCTTAAACCTTATATGTGTATTTTTAACCTTCTCTAGAAAAAGCTGGTGACCGCTGTGGGCCATGAGACTCCCTCGGGGAGGGGACCAGCAGAGCACAAGCCATGCAGACGAATCTGAGCTTCTGTTCTGGGTGCTATGCAGTACAGCAATATTTCCTGACTAGTCCCTCCCCACACTGCAGGACACCCTGGGTACCCCACAGACTGCGGTGTGTCAGTTGGACAGCTGTGTGCATATTTTTCTGCATGAAAGCATGGTTGCTAACAGTCTGGGTTCCTGCATTATATTTCCAGGATTTTGGACACTGTCCCCCATTGTCCGTGTACCATACGCTGACCCACAGGATCTGTGGCAAAAATCTCCATCCAACAGCAAAGGTATAACTCTTTTACTCCCACTTTATCTTTTAAAACATAGCAAAGGGAGAAAGGTGCTACACTACAAGTCAAACACCCTGTAGCAACACCCACTTTTTGGCCACAGCTACAGTGTTTGGCAGGCAGCGCTCATAGAGTGACACATTTTTTCCTCTGCTCTTCATGCCTTCCTGTCCCAGTGATAAAACCCATCTTGTACATGTACCATAGGGAAAGGATGTGAGGGCAATTCGTAATGAGATCTCCACTGTCCAGATATCTCCCACAATTGTTTTTGAAAATTCTACCCCCATAGACTTGCATTGAGTTCTAAGTTCGAATTAAAACTTTTTCCATGTTCGAAAGTTTGAATTAGAACCGAACATGGGGGTGTTTGGCTCATCACTAATCTCCTCCTCTACTCTTCCACTTTCCATCGGGGTCCCTAAACCCCTTCTATTTCCTATCTAATCCTCCTCCCTTAGTCTGTTGATAATGGGCAGACTACCCCC